TCCACCCCAGCATATATGATCCAGGGTAAGTGCAGGCTGGTTGGGCTTTGCCACAGCATCAGCTAGCAGATGCTTTAGACTTGGGGCAAGTCCTATCAGGCTAGATTGTAGATCCATCTAGAAAGTGTAAGATCCAGGGCTAGGAGTGAGCCTAGTAGAGAATTTGTGGGCACCCTCTGATAGGCTGAAGTTCCCACTGGTGAGTATGTGAACCAAAGCTTTTGGCAGGCCTGGCTGTACAGACAATGGCACCTGCAAGTATGATTATGCTTGGACAATGGGGCTGATTAGGCTGAGCTAAGCTCCAAAATCCACTGATGTATATGAGAGCTGAATGGTATCCAGGGAAGACTTGATCCATCTGCTGCACATACCATCAGCTGAGGAACCACAGCTGAGGGTGAGCTTGGTGGGGGTTACTGGGGGCCACTCCCACTAAGCTGAAATTCCCACTGGCATGCATGAGGGCCAAGTGTGTGGTAGACAGGGCTGAACTGGGCCACAGCATTGTCTGGCTTGCATATGAGATGGAGCTGGAGACAGAACTGATCAGGTGACTGCAACCACCAGTACGTATGTGCAGGCTGATGTGGGTGATGGATTGAGCTGGACTCAGCTCTAGCTGGCATACATAGGAGTCAGGCTGGGGTCACCTCTTGCAAGGTTTCTTTGGGGAGCTCTCAACTGGACCACCGGACTCAAAATTACAACCATGGTGAAAATTGCAGGATCTGGGGCGGGGGGGGTGGGAGCGGTCTCACCATGAAGTGCATGTATCAGAACTAAAGTGCCTCAGTTCTGAAAACTATGCGGTAGACAGAATGTCTAGATGCCTAAAGAGGACATCTAGTACCATGGAAGGCAGGACAAACTGGAGAGCTCTCATCGCCAATCTTTGACAGCGAGTATCTGGGTGAATGGAGGCTCTGTGTTGGACTGCGTCAACAAATGGACCTTAGAAGGATTTCCTCAACCTTGGCACAACAGAATCAACAGCATCTTACAACTATCAAAACCACTTTCAATTGTTGAAATGTCATCGAAGTAGTCACAGAATGTGGTTAAGAACTTGCATTTAATCTTAATATATTGCTTACTCGATACTATGTCAGTTAGTTCCACAAAAGTGTATATTGTTGCTGATGTTATGTTGGGGCTTGTAATTGACTGGGATTTTACTTTGTTCGCTCTAACATTGGACCAGAGAGGGTCTCCCCAAGAAGCTGTTGAACATATCTAGAAGATGAGATACTGAACTCTATGCTAGGTATATGCTCGCAGGGAAGGAATCTCAACTGAACTTGAACTGTGGATACGCAACAAGGTGGAGGAATCCACCATGGGGGGAGGATTGGGGGAGGAGAGGGGAAAATTCCAGTACCTAAAAAGCTGTATCACATAATGCAACGTAATAAATTTTTAAAAAATCACTTAAGCAATATCCTCAGAACATGCTCCACATCAGGGACCCTGGATGACACTGGGTGGCTGTCCCCAAGTCACAGGTACTGATACAATTGGACTACTGGGGGTAACCCTCTCCTGTTCTCTCCCCACTTTCCACAGATACAGGAAGATAAAAAGGAGATGGGAGGCAGTTGCTTCATCCATTTTCCCCCATCCTTGACCCTCCCCACCCTAACTGGTAGTCCACACGGGCATGCACCCCTCTCAACTAACTAAACATCATCAAAATAAAATGAATTCTTTTAAGATTTTTTAAAATTTTTATTGAAACATCAGATGTACAGACAGGAGAGACAGAGAGAAAGACCTTAAGAAAATAAGAAAATAAATAAAATTCATGGCTCCAGCATGGTGGCCTAGCAGCTAAAGTCCTCGCCTTGAACGCACCAGGATCCCATATGGGTACTGGTTCTAATCCCAGCAGCCCTGCTTCCCATCCAGCTCCCTGCTTGTGCCCTAGGAAAGCAGTCAAAGATGGCCCAAAGCCTTGGGATCCTGCATCCGCACTGGAGACCCAGAGCAGCTCCTGGTTCCTGGCTTCAGATTGGCACAGCTCTAGCCATTGCGGTCACTTTGGGAGTGAATCATCGATGGAAGATCTTCCTCTCTTCTCTCCTCCTCTCTATATATATCTGACTTTGCAATAAAAACAAATAAAATTTTTAAAAATAAAATTCATGATAGTAGATCATGAAATGTAATGGAGAAAAGAGTCATATTAACAAATATTTCTAGGAAAAATGGCTATCTTCAAGCAGGAGAAACAAGTTGAAACCTTACCTCACATCATATATAAAAATTATTTTAAAATAAATCAAAATCCTGAATGTAAGACCAAAAGCCTTAAAAAAACTTTACATCGCCCCAGCTGTAGGCAACTACTTAGATTGCCCACACAAATGTTACACTGCTGGGAGAAAATCACCCAGTAGCCAGTGGTCACTCTACACCTGATTAATGACAAGTCTGTGTTAACTATACCAGTGTGCCTATATAGCTGTCTTGTCTTCTTTTTTTTAAAGATTTATTTATTTATTGGAAAGTCAGATACACAGAGAGGAGGAGAGACAGAGAGGAAGATCTTCCGTCCGATGATTCACTCCCCAAGTGAGCACAACAGCCAGTGCTGAGCTGATCCAAAGCCAGGATCCAGGAACTTCTTCCGGGTCTCCCACACGGGTGCAGGGTCCCAAAGCTTTGGGCCGTCCTCGACTGCTTTCCCAGGTCATAAGCAGGAAGCTGGATGGGAAGTGGAGCTGCCAGGATTAGAACCAGTACCCATATGGGATCCTGGCGCATTCAAGGCGAAGACTTTAGCCGCTAGGCCACAGCGCTGGGCCCTTTCTTTTCTTCTTAAAGACAAGTAAGGAGGGTAGGGGACACCAGGCCATGACATGCCACCCCAGCCCCCAGGCAGGGAGGGTTACAGAATGCCTGGGGAAAGGGGTCAGGGGACATACTGGAATGTGAGCAGCTGAGGGCATATTTGACAGGGAAGGAAGGATTTATGGGGTCTTCCATGGGCCAGGTCACAGCATTTGCAGGCAGGCAATGGAGCTAAGGCAGAATGGTTTCAAGGGGGGAAATGAAGGGCACGACTGGGTCACACCAAGACATTCACGCTCCTCAGAGACCCAGGTAGGCAAGTGAGAGCCTGGACAGAACGCAGGCTCATGTGCCCAGCAGGCCCACTCCCAGCTCTGGATCTGCACGGGCCAGGTTGGATGTGAGGTGGTATCTCCTTGTGGTTGATACGCTTCTCTCTGTTGATTCCGCATGTTCAGCATCTTTCCATGTGCTTATCAACATTTTTGTTTCATTGGAGAACTCTTTTGCCCAGGTACTTTTTTTTTCTTAATTTATATTATTGCCCGGGTTCTTTTTAAAAAATATTAATTATTGTTGTTGTTGTATTATTGTTATTGTTTAGACAAATCCACAAAAAGAAAGAGAGACAGAGAGATCTTCTGCTGAGTCACTCTCCAAATGGCTACAACAGCTAGCACTGAGCCAGTCAGAAGCCAGAAGCCAGGAACATCTTCCAGGTCTCCCACAGGGGTGCCGGGTCGCAAACACTTAGACCATTCTCCACTGCTTTCCTGTCCCATAAGCAGAGAGCTAGATTGGAAGTGAAGCAACCAGGACATGAACTGGTGCCCATACAGGATGCCAGTGCTCACAGGCAGAGGATTAGCCAGGTGAGCCAGCACGGTGTTGGCTCCTTTTGCCCAGTTTTGAATCATATTTTCTTGATGAGTTTTATATATATACAGTTCTGAGAATATTATGGTAAGTAAAATAATCCAGTCACAGAAAGATAAATTGATATAATTCCTCTTGTGAAATACACAGTCAAATTGAAAGATAAAAAGGGCCCGATGCAGCAGCCTCGTAACTAAAGTCCTTGCCTTGCATCTGCCAGGATCCTATATGGGCACCAGTTCATGTCCCAGCAGCTCCACTTCCCTTCCAGCTCCCTGCTTGTGGCCTGACAAAGCAGTAGTGTATGGCCCAAGGCCTTGGGACCCCGCAGCTGCATGGAAGACCCCAAAAAAGCTCCAGGCTTTGGACCGGCTCAGCTCTGGCCCTTGTGGCTGCTTGGGGAACGAACCAACAGAAAAAAGATCTTTCTCTCTGTATCTCCTCCTCTCTGTATATCTGACTTTCCAATAAAAATAAATAAATCTTAAAAACAAAGAAAAAGAAATTGCTGGTCACAGGAGCTAAAGGGAGGAAGCATGGGGAATTACTGACAAATTATGATAGTTCCAGTTTCGCAAGACGAGAGTTCTGGAGGTCAGCTGCACGACGATGTGAATGTAACGTCAGTGAACTGCACATCTAAGAATGGTGAAGACAGGGGCAATGATACGGCACAGCAGGTAAATCCGCCTCCTATGGCATCACCCATAGATGCTGCTTCAGATCCTAGCTGCTCCACTTCTGTCTCAGCTTCCCGCTAATGGCATGGAAAAAGAAGAAAATGGCCCAGCTGTTGGGGCCTCTACCTCCCAAATGAGAGAAACAGAAGAAGCACCTGACTCCTGGCTGCTGGCTTCAGCCTGGCCCAGCCCTAGCCACTGCAGCATCCAGGGGATGAATCAGCCGATAGAAGACCTCTCTCTCTCTGTCTCTTTTGATCTCCCCCTCTCTCCCCACCCCCCCCAAGAGATGGTTAAAATAGCCAATTTTAAGCCTTTTATATTTTACCACAACAAAAATTAAAATACAGGAATTATAATAGTGAGACTACATGTATTAGAATAACATACTTCACTGAAAACAACTGTAACTATTACATTGACCTAAGAGAATTAAACTGATTTAAATATTATGCAATCTTCCTTCAAGACTTACAAGAGAACAACAGCAAAACCCATGAAATAACCAAAAAAGGGGGAAAAAAGTAGGTTTTAGATTAGTTTAACAGCCTTACTGACTATATCAAATAAAAACCTCAACTGAAATACTCTAAACAAAATACGCTCTGCGCAATAACACTATTCAACTTTATATTTCTTTCCATTGCTTACCTGGGAGAGAGAAGAGCACCAGGACAGAGGGAGGTCGAACACTCTCAGGGCTGCCGCCTTCACGGAGAACTGGGAATCACCTCCCGTGTCTTCTGACATGACTCCTCCTGGAATCTTCATCAAATGAAGCATAAAAACGCATGAGCCACAGGCGATTCTGCTTATTCACCAATGAAAAAACTACAAAACGTACTTCCAGCAGGTTTATCTGCATTTGGTTTGGTTTTGCAACTACTCATGATATTAGAACTGAGCTGAAATGCTACTGATCAATCAGCAAATCAGCCAAAGAAAAAAATGAACAGGATTTAAGCTTTGAGTTCAGGCAGTAAAACTTTTGTTTAGAAAACTGTAAGTTCTAGAGGTTGGCAATACGGTATAGCAAACAACATCAGCATCCTGTATGGGAGCCAGTTCAAACCCTGGCTGTTCCACTTTTATTGCAGCTCCCTGTTCACGGCCTGGGAAAAGCAGTGGGAGACGATCCAAGTGCTCGGGCCCCCAACACCCACATGGGAGACCAGGAAGAAGCTCCTGGCTCCTGAGCTCAGCCTGGCTGCTGCAGACATCTGGGGAGTGCACAAGCAATGGAGGATCTCTTTATCACTCCCTCTAACTTTCAAATAAAAGAAATCAATCATTTTCGAAAAGAAACTTTTCCAACTGTTTACTTTTCTGGTTAAATAAGTTCATCCGCTTTTAGGTTTTAATTTAAAGCCTACTTCCTTTACAAACATGTATAATTCTGTGCCAATTTTTAAAAATAAAGACCCAGGAATGTACAACGTTGACACGTCAATTTTTATTTTCAATAAAGAAATCTTCCCAGTCATTTCCTTCATGACAGTGACAAATGGAGGCTGATGAATGGAACCTGGGGCAGACGCCTGGGGCTACGACGGGACCTCACCACTCACTGTCTGAGCTCCACACTTGCCCCAGGCATTTTTTTCACTTATCGACTTTACTTATTTATATTTTTAAGATTTATTCTATTTTTATTGTCAAGTCAGATATACAGAGAGGAGGAGAGACAGAGGGCAAGATCATCCACTCGCTGATTTACTCCCCAAGTGGCTGCAACAGCCGGAGCTGTACCAATTCGAAGTCAGGAGCCCGGAGCCTCCTCTGGGTCTCCCACATGGGTGCGGGGTCCCAAGGCTTTGAGCCATCATTCACTGCTTTCCCAGGCTGCAAGCAGGGAGTTGGATGGGAAGCAGGGTCACGGGGATTAGAACTAGCGCTCATATGGGATCTTGGTGTGTGCAAGGTGAGGACTTTAACCACTAGGCTATTGCACGGGGCCCTCATTCATCTACTTAAAAATTTTCAGAGAAATGTTGGGTACATGCTTTGTAACCTTCATCCTGTTTGAACACTTGCTATTTGTTTTGTAACCAAAGGAAAAAGTCGTATGTTTGCAGAGGAAACAGATGTCACTCAAAGAGCCCTCATTAACATAGTAAACTTTTGGCAGCAACATGCCAAGGTCAATCTACAGAGCTAGAGGCTCAACATTCTCATTCCACCCCGCTGAACACACTTCCGTGACAATCATACACCAACCAGTTTACTTATTTAATCAGAAGACGAAAACATCGCCTGGGGAACACCAGATCACCAGCAGCCTGAGGTGTCCTTTCAAACCTAACACAGTAACACTCTTAGGAGGGGTCTCTTGCTACTGGTACTCAGCCTAGTCCCTACCAGGCACAGAGCTCCCCTCTCCTCAAGGTTCTGGTTTAGACCCTGTATAATGAGTTCCAACTGAAGTACACTTATCACAACCAATGACCGTGACACAGACACACTGAGGAACAGAGGCAACCACAGCAAACACGGTTCTCTGGAGAATGACACTAAACGGCTGCTTTTCAGTCTTTCTGTAAAAACTGGCTTTTTATAAAACTGCATGCGTAGGAGTGAAAAAGGTGCAGCAGTGGATGCAGACCTTAATGCACGTGGAGAATACGGCAGCTCATTAGATACCGCAGCAGAGGAAGGAGAACCGAGCAAATCAGACAACTACTCTGGCCAAACAATGACAGCAAAAAACTGGGTGAGTGGAGACCTGAGGTCGGCTATGTCCGTCAGTGGACATTGGGTGGGCTGCTTCCCCCTTGGATTGGCAAAATCAACAGCATTGCAGAACTATCCTACCCCCGTGCCCACATGAGGACCCTGGGTGGGTACTGGGTGGTGGACCCCAGCCCGGGGTCATCTGGGAGACTGGATGTGGAATCCCGCTTTCCCTCTCCCCTTCCCCCAAAGACCAGAAGAAACAGAAAATCTGGAAACAACGATTTCGTCCACTTTTCCCTAATCCTCAGTCCTTCCTACCCTGATATACCATGTAATCATCACCAAAAATAAATATATACATATAAAAATGCATGCATCACTTTAGAATACCACAGCAAAAAAAAAAAAGAAACATACTTATTCTTCTCTTCTCCCTCCTCTGAAAACTGACTTTTTTAAAAAACATTTTTACTAATTAGATCATAAAGCTACTGCTGCACGAAACACACACACACACAGCTGAAAGCAATTCACCCAAAGTTTCTCTCCATCATGGATCGTCCCAAATTTTTAACCAAAAAGAAAATAACACAAATAGTTCAACTCGGAATTGTGAGAAACATGTATTTCTGTGATCTGACTAGCTTATCGCAGAAAATCATTCCACACTGAATCATTTTTGGGTAACTTTAAAAAAAAATGATTTCAGAATATAGTCTCAGAAGTATAAGATTAACATGAACGTAAGTTTCACAATTACTCAGATTCGTAAAGGAGGTCTAAAACAGTACCATAAATACTGCCTTGCGTATTATTTGCTTCTCGGCATTGTAATCATTGAGAAATTAGAAACAAGTGTAAAAGAGTTTGCTTCTTAAATGCCCTAAAATTGCATCTGACAATTTTTGACTTTATAATCAGAAAGTCTGAGTTATCAAAATCAAAACACCTCGACGTGCAAAATAAATCTTGTACAACTGAATTCTGAGAAGGTACTGCAAAACCGTAGCTGCAATAATGCTAACAACGGTCTTTAAAGTCTGTGCAAAACTGAAGCCTCCTGGAGTCCTCCATCCACAAAATACATGTGTTGCAACTTTAATTACAGAAAAGACCCGGAGCCACAATCCCCCAGGTGAAAATGATTCTGGGAGGCACCTTCCAAGGCGCATGATTTTCCACAAGCACAGCTGCTGCCTACACAAACCCCTACACCCAGTGTCCTGCGCTGGTCCCAGTGTCCAGCCCAGTGTCCAGCGCTGGTCCCACCTAAGCCCCCACAAGCAGGACCAGAAGCCCTGCGCGGATTCACATACCCTGGTCACCCCGACTCAGCGCTCCCTCAGCGCACCTCCCTCAGGCGTTGCGGCCCCGCTCCCCACCATTCCCGCAGGTTCCCACGGCTTTGTCCACAGGGTGTCGCGACCCTGCTCGCCGCCGCAGCGGGTCCTCCCACCCTTATACCTGGAGCTCCGGGCCGGTGCGGCCGAACCACGCCTGCTTGCTCGCTGCACCGGTGCTGAGCAGCAGCCCGGCCGCTGAGTGCGGAGTCCTTCCGGGGTCAGGAGTGGAAAGATGGAGAGAAAGTGGAGGGGGCCTTCTTGTCTTCTGCGTGGGGGCTACGTGTGAAGCAGCATCCGCCATTTTTGTTTAGGGTAGGCACTCTTGTCTTACAGGATTCATAGAGAATTAGGTTACAAGAACTGCAAGATTTCACAAAGCTGTTCAGAACTACTGTTATACTTCGTAACCTTGTGGGAAATGCAGTGCTGTTCTGCTAGTCTGGTGGACGCTATGGAGGCTTCCCAAGAAAAACGCACGGACATGCAGTATTAAAACAGACACAGACAAACACACAATTTCAAACTCAGATTAAGAAATTTCGTTTCAGATTCTGAGTCCTCTAGTCAATGTTAACAGTTTCCAACCCAGCATTAATTATTAGTCTCAATCCCTCTGTAGTTGTTCTCTAGGTTTCCCGCTGAATTAGGCACCCAAAGAATAATAAGTATGGCCGATTATGAGGACTTAGGCAACACAGTCACCTCGCTCAGGTTCTAATATAGAGAAAACTGAACAACACACAAGAAGCCCAAGGTTCTGTTTCTGTGTGCAGTCCTGGGCCAAAACACTCATTCAGAACCACAGACTTAAAAATTCTAGTTGCTTGTAGCTCCATGGACACTTGACTTACATATATATATACCTGCCCTGTATGGCTAATGTCCTAATGTCACATGCTAGTCCTTTCATTGTTTCCATGCCTTCTAATTGACCTAGACAGTGATTGGTAAAGTATAATTGTTTAAAACAAAATGTAACTCAGGAATTCTAGTTGCTGAGTATATTGGTAATGAAAAGCCAAAATAGCATTTGTAAAGAGAACTGGAATATGAGAGCAAATGTCGCTATTCATAGGCAATAAGCAAGAATGAGCAATCCTTTTTGTGTTAAAAATTCCCATTTTGTCAAATAGGAAGAATAACAATATCACTATGTTACCATTAGATGAATAATAATAACAACAAAAAACAAAAACACAGAATTCTATGTGAAAATACTTAATGCTTCACAAGTAATGCAGGGGGCCAGCCAGCCTGACACTGCATTGGCTAATCCTTCACCTGTAAGTGCTGGCATTCCGTGTGGGCACCAGGTTGGTCCCTGCTGCTCCACTTCCCATCCAGCTCCCTTCTTATGGCCTGAGAACACTGTAGAGGATGGCCCAAAGCCTTGGGATCCTGTACCTGCATGGAACCCAAAAGATGCTCTTGGCTCCTGGTTTCAGATCAGCTTAGCTCTGGCCATTACAGCCATTTGGGACATGAACAGCGAGTAGAAGATCTGTGTCTCTTAGTAAAATCTGCTTTTCCAATGAAAATAAATCTTTTTTAAAAAAACGAAGAAGTAAAGGGGGTCTTGAGACTTGAAGAATCTGGAATTCGTGAGGCCATCTTTACTTTCTGAATGTCGTTTTTGCTGCCTATACCCTCTTTCAATCTTTGTTCTCATTACCCACCTGAAGTGTTAAAAAAAAAAAAAAAAACAAGTCATAAGTAAGCCAGCCAAGGCATCTAGAACTCAGAGTATGGTTCTTTATTCTGCTTCAGAACATTTAGAGTGTAGGAGTCCATACCCAAATGCAAATATTGTTAACCACAGAGTTACTGCATGACCCAGCAATCCCATTCTCAGGTAGCACCCAAGAGGAATACATCACACAGAAACCTGTACACAAATACGATTAGTAGCATATAATTTCACATCATTCTCTTTTTCAAAAAGATGTATTTGTTTGAAAGCCACAGTTAATACAAGAAGGAAAGGTCCTCAGAAGAGTAGTCTTCCATAAGCTGGTTCATTCCTCAAATGGCTACAATGGCTGGGCTGGGCCAGGCCAAAGCCAGGAGACAGGAGTTTCATCCAGGTCTCCCGTGTGGGTGCAGGGGTGCAAGCACTTCGGCCATCCTTGACTGTTTTGCCAGACACAGTAACAGGGAGCTGGATTGCAAGTGGAGCAGCCAGGACACAAACTGGCATTCATATGGAATATTAGCATTACAAGTGGTACCTGAACTCATTATTGCCACAGTGCTGGCCCCATAATTCCTAATAACTCTTAAATAGGATGCAAACATCCCAAGCTGTGACTTTATCGTGGTGTCAAATGCCCACTCTAAAGTAGTATTATTAAGATTTATTTGTTTTTTATTGAAAAGTCATGTATACAGAGAGGAGGAGAGACAGAGATCTTCCATCTGCTGATTACTCCCAGGTGGCTGCAATGGCCAGAGCTGGAGCTAGGAGCCAACAGTCTCTTCCGTGTCTCCCATGTGAGTACAGGATCTCAAGACTTTGGGCTGTCTTGGACTGCTTTCTCAGCACACAAGCAGGGAGTTGGACAGGAAGTGGGATCATTGGGACACGCATGGGCATCTAAATGTGATCCTGGCAAGCATGGGCGACTAAATGTGATCCTGGCAAGGCAAGGAATTTAGCCACTAGGATACCACACCAAGCCCTAAAGTAACATTATTTGTAATAGCCAAAAAGAAGAAATAGCCCAGATGTTCATCAAAGAATGAATGGATTAATAAATGTGATATATGCACATAATAAACTGGCCCTAAAAAGGAATGATGTGCTGACAATTACCATAACACAGCAAACTTTGAAAACTATGCTAAGCAGTCAACCATGAGATTTTGACTCATTAAGACACCACTTGAGATGCCTACAACCTATTTCAGAATGTCCCATCTTTCAGTCCAGCTTCCTATTGATGTGCATCCAGCTAAGATGCAGGTCAAACCTCAGGTACCTGGGTCCCTGTCTTTGTACCCAACAAAGGAGACCTGAAAGTTCTGGATTCATGGTTTCGGCTTGCCCACAGCCACAGCTGATGAGCATTTGGGGAACCAGTTAATGGATAAAAGATCTCTCTGCCCTTCAGATAAACTGTAACATTTTTTCTAAAAATCCCATGATAAAACACTCCTTATTTTATTATTCTATTTATAAAAACAATCCAAAACAGGCAATTCTGTAGATAGAGAGGTTAGTGGTTGCTTAGACTAGGAGGGTGGGGAAAACGGAAGACTCTGCTAAAAGGTATAGATTTCTTTCTAAACTTAGATTTTAGGATAGTTACACAAATCTGAATACAGCACTGAAGCACATATTTATTTATTTAAGATTTATTTATTTTTATTGCAAAGTCAGATATACAGAGAGGAGGAGAGACACAGAGAAAGATCTTCTGTCTGCTGATTCACTCCCGAAATGGCTGCAAAGGCTGGAACTGAGCTGATTCAATGCCAGGAGCCAGGAGCTTCTTCTAGCTCTCCCACTTGGGCTCAGGGTCCCAAGGTTTGGGCCATTCTCCACTGCTTTCCCAGGCCACAAGCAATGAGCTGGATGGGAAGTAGAACTACCAGGATTAAAACCGGCAACCATATAGGATGCCAGCATTGCAAAGTGAGCATTTAGCCACTGAGCCATTGCTCCAGGCTCTTCAGCTTTTCAAGATCTGCATTATTAATTTGCTCATTTCCTACATTATGCCATGCATTATACTGAATGCTGGAATTACTGAAATAAAATTCCTCACATACAGTTTAGGAAAAGGGAAAAGAACAAATTATTGCAATGTATAATGAAATTACAATGCACAGTAGATAATCAGTGGTAATCACACCACCAGATAACATGCTATAAAATACAATAAAGAGCCTACGCAGCCTGAAAAAGCAAGACAGAAAAAAAAGGCTTCTCTTTGCTGATGTTCCTTAAAGATGTAGAATTCCTTCTCTGTTTTAAAATGTTTAATCTGAAAGGCAGAGTCACAGAGAAGAAGAGACAGAGAATGAGGGGGAGATCTTATATTTTCTGTCACACTCCCCAGGTGGTCACAGTGGCCGGAGCTGAGTCAATCTGAAATCAGGAGTCCAGACCCTCCTCCAGGTTTCTCACATCAGTGCAGAGCCCCAAGGACTTGGACCATCCTCTGCTGCTTTCCAAGGGCATAGGCAGGGAGCTGGATCAGAAGTAGAGCTAGGGCCAGTGCGGTAGCCTAACAGCTGAAGTCCTCTTCTTGCATGTGCCAGGATTTCATGTTGGCCAATTTGTATCCCAGCAGACCTGCTTCCCATCCAGTTCCCTGCTTGTGGCCTGGGAAAGCAGTCAAGGACAGCCCAAAGCCTTGGGATCCTGCCCCCACGTGGGAGACCGAACGAAGCTCCTGGCTCCTGGCTTTGGATCAGCCCAGCTCCGGCCGTTGCAGTCACCTGGGGAGTGCACCAGTGGCCAGAAAATCTTCCTCTTGTCACTTCTCTCTTTGTATCTGGCTTTCCAATAAAATTTTTTAAAATCTTGAAAAAAGTGGAGCTGGCAGAACTCAAACCAGCACCCATATGGGATGCTGGCACCACAGGTGGTGGCTTAGCCCTATAGCACCACACGTAGGTGCTAGCCCCAGAGTTTCTTTTTTGATTATGTATTTGTTTGTTTATTTTTATTTGAAAGGCATAGAATTAGACATGTAAAGAGAGAGACTGACATAGACAAACAGTGATCTTCCACCTGCTAATTCACCCCAAAATGCCCACAACAGGAAAGACCAGTACTCCAGAACTCAGGCTGTGTCAATGACAAGAACCCAAATATCTAGGCCATCCCCTGCTGCTCCCCAGAATACATATTTACAGGAAGCTGGAATCAGAGATGGAGTCTGGTCTCAAACTTAATCAGTCAGATATGAGATGTGGCTATTCAGTGACTTCTTATCTACTTGTTCCTAAGAAGTGCAGATCATTCTTAAGAAAAAGGGCAAAAAGCAAAACAGCATTCCATACACAAAGAAAGAAGCAATCAGTAGTAAAGGAAAATTTTTTCTTTAAGAAAAATGAAATGTATATTAGAATAACAAGAACATAGTTTTTTATTTTTTGTAAGCAAAGAAAAGGAAGGGGCATCATGATGGTTCAACTGACTAATCCT